AGCATTGGGGGAGTCCCTGTTCCCCCGAGCACTACCAAGAGTGACAAGAAACAACGGTCACAAGCTGGCAGAGGGTAGCTTTAGGCTAGACATCAGGAGGTGCTACTTCACGGTCAGGGCAACTAGGATCTGGAACCAACTTCCAAGTGAAGTGGTGCTGGCTCCTACCCTGGGGGTCTTTAAGAGGAGGCTGGATGAACACCTCGCTGGGGTTGTTTGACCCCAGTACTTTTTCCTCCCATGGCAGGGGGTCGGACCTTATAATCTGCTCAGGTCCCTTCCGACCCTACCAACTATGAAATTATCACCATATTCCTCAGTCATACAGATACTTTATAAGTACTCCATAATAATTAAGGTTAGGGTGGGAAAGAACAAGTGCACTTTGGATTTTTTTTTATTTTGTACGTTGCATTTATCTTTATGAGCAATACTAAACTTTCTTTAAGAAGCAATAGTAAGTTGATGTCCCAGTATGGAATTACATGTGTAAGCACTGCTGAAGGTGCTGTGTATTGGATGAAACATAAAACCTAGGTCCTGATTACTTGTTAATAAAGCACCCACAATATACTCTGAAAGAGGAAAGGCGTTAGCTCCAGTGTTCTGGCCAAATTCTGAATGTTTACACTCTGCCTCCCTTAATTTCCCCTGAAGTTCAATCAGATATTCCCTCCCACTTCCTATCCTAGCTGCTGTGTAACATTATTATGCATGGGTAAACAGCTGTTGCATCTCAGTAGTCAATTAAATGGTCTCTAAATATGGCTTGGATATTCATTTATAAAATACTTTGGGTACCTTCTGGATGGCTGGCACTACAAGGTGATATGTAGTTTGTGTGAAAACCATGTAACTTTAATACAACATGTTTAGACTGCCTGTGACAAACACACTTCCTGCGGTCCTGGCAGGAATGAGAGACACTTGGCAGTGATAGACACTGATGTGAAAGTGCTCAATGGGACATAGCTTTTGAAGATAAGCCACCATAACAGCTGGTCATGATATCCTCTGAATCAGGAAAAGCACCTTTCCTGATGGTCTCTTCAGCAGTTAAATCATTACTACACTGTTTTCTGCTACTTAAAAATGTTCTTGTTGTGCTGTCAAAATATTCATGCTGAGATCAGTAACTGGAGAAAAAGTGCTCTGGACTTTGGCAGAACAAAGAGAGTGGCATTTTGTGACCAGCTTCCCTTGGGAAGATGAAGACTTAGACAGAAAGGTGGTAATTCTTTATAATGCAATTGGTGTAGGCCATATAATACTGGGTTTACTTAAATCCAAGACAAGGTTTTTCCTATGCTTAACATGGGGGAGGGAAGGCAAAAATTCCCTCATTTTGGATTCAAGTACAAGGCAGTGGTGAGGAGCAGGCAGCTACTGAAGCTCTGGCCATGACCCAGGGCTGAGGCCAAAGCTGCAGCTGCTGTCTGCTCCCCCATAGCCTCTGTCCCCTGCCTGTGCCCCCTCCTACCCCAGAAACTCTGGCTGGACCCCAGAGTCTGGGCCAGAACTGCCATCGTTGCTGCTACCAGGTTGGCCTAGGGCTGGACCACCCATGCCCCAGGCTGGCATGGGGCTGAAGGCAGAGGGTAAGTTGGGGGAGGGGCAAGTGGGGGGCAGAGGTTGCAGAGGGGGAGACATAGGTGGAGGGGGCAGGCACGTGGGGGAGGACAGGTTCCAGGGGCTACAGTCATGAGGGGAACAAGTAACAGAGAAGCAGGAGGGGCAGGTACTGGGGACAAGAATGGGGGAGGGCATTCAGCAGGCTGGGCAGAGGGCATGGTGTTGTGGGAGCAAGGGGCAGGCTGCTTAATCTCCCTCCACTCCCCATCCCCCTATGGCCTCCCCGAGCCTGCCCCCCTACTGCTTCCCTTACAGCTTGACCCCCTCACTGCCTTCCCCACTGCCTGTCTTCCTGCCACTGTTTTCCACTCTTCAGCAGTGGGGGAAGGGACGACAACTTTAAGACAATCCGCCAATAATTAGATTCTATACATAGAAAATTATAACAAATTTATAAATTTTCCATGTGTAGAATTTAATTACTGGAGGGTCATCTTAAATTCAGAGTCATTTTCTTAAATTCAGAGTCATTGTGGATTTGAGTGAATAGGGTGTTAGCAGTTTAGAAAAAGGAGAGCTTGGTATTGTCACTATGCTTTTGCCAAACATGTATTCTAGACTGCAGCTAGATGCCTTTGTGTATGGAAGCTTCCGAGCACGTGAAGTGAGAAAGGATTCCTAACAGCATTAACAAATGAGTGGATTGAGGAACGGAGAAAATCCCAACAGAAATCCCTGTTCATACAAGTCCTATTTCCAAATCTTACCTCGTTTTTTAAGGATCTCCTGCAGATCTGGCTTGCCAATTGTGCCTACTGGGGTCTCTCTGTCACTGTCTTGTTCTTCATCATCTTCTGTTGTAGTTGATCCAACTGAGAGGATTTGGAGTTTGGTGTCCAAGTCTTGCACTTCTGGTTTCAGGAAAACAGCTGGGCCATCAATGCCTGAAAAACAGTAAAAAAGAATGCAAAAATCTAACTTCTTTTGAAACTTCTAGAATGTATTAAGTACCACAAGATGGCGTCTCATTTCAATTCCCCTGCTCAGGCATCCTTTTGGAGTATGAAGAATCTAAGCTCACTGCCGTGTCCCACAGGCAAACTGAGGAAATACTAATCCCAAAAACATACTACTTTACATCTTTAGGAGCCAGGATTCTAACTCTGGCTCTAGCAAAGACCTCCTATGTCATCTTGAGCTTGTTATGGGAGCTCTGTCTCTCTGTGCCTCAGCTCCTCCACTTCTAAACTATGATGATTATATTAATTTTTTCACAAGTGTTTCTAGGTTAAATTAAGTGGGTTTATACAACCCACTAAAACCCTTAGATTCATTCTGGGATAATCATTTTACCCCTTTACTGTCCTTATCATCACATTCCTTATTAATCTTCTTGATATTAGGCTCCACATTCCCTAATAAACACTGTGTTTTCTTGCATGTCACATATCCTCAGTTAAGACATGCACCTTGTTTTTGGGAAGGCAGAATGAAAGAAAGATTTTTCTAGAGTTATGGCCACATAAAGGAGGTACACTGCCTAATCTTCAGCTCACTCACCCTCCCTTTGTTACTCAGCTACAGTTTTAACCTTCTTATATCTGAACTGTCAGTAGCTCTTGGCTGTTTCACCCAAAACTGGCAAGGTAGCTCAGTAATTCTCAACTCTTTTAGACTCTAGATACCCTTCAACAGATTTGAGCCACTTCTTGATAGACTCAAGGCATCTTCTGGAAAATGCTAGCTCTAAGTTTTCACTTATTTTTTGACTACAGAAAAATAACAGAGCAACTCTTCTAATGCAAATAATTCAGTAAGATCACTACAAGTTAGAATGTTTTAATACTATAGATTCCTATTTGAAAACTCTGGGTTTATGTTGTGAATCACATGCACACCTAACAGCACTATAATTGTCTGGTACCCTGTGGCACCCTTGAAATATTTCAGGGCACCATGAGTGAATCTATAATTTTGACAAAAACTTAAAACAGTCCGCAGGGCTGTGAAATAGGGGAAGAGAAACCTGGAGCAGCTAACAGACAATCAAAAATACCAAACAAAAGATAGCTTGATTAGTAGAATATCAAGACCATTAAAAAGGAGAGAGGGTAATTAACACCTGTGGCATGAAGAGCAATGAACAGAAATCAGATAGATTATAATGAGCCATGAAGTCAATTGACTCCCTCAGCATGGTCTGAATAGAAATGCTACCACTGCTGCTGGGCAATCAGTTTCAAACTTTTGAGTGAACCCGGAGTCAAAGTGGAGTGTGACTGCACCATTACAACCCACCTTGGATCTGTATCTTCTGGCTTCTGTCCCTCCCTCCATGCAGCTACTGGAGGGAAGATAAGAAAAAGCAGCAGCAGCTATCTTATGGCATTTTCATATTTCTATTCTGGGTAGAAAATCAGATCCCCAGTTAAGACAAGCATCCCAATTTTGGAAGGCTAATTATAGGGGAAAGGTGCATGTAGTATGTGAGCAAATACTATATGCCAGAAAGAACATGGTAAAGGTACCACAGCCAGAGGCAATATTCCACATTCTAAACAGCTCTTGCTTAAGTTTCTTGTGGAACCAAAGTATCCACGTTTAAACCTAACACACAGCTGCAATATACTGCAGCTCTTGTTAGTCAGCTTGCAGACAGAGCTGTGTCTACATTAGATACAAGACGCGCAGTAAACCAATTCCGCTGCACATTAGCACATCATGGTGAAAGTCATGCTGATGCGCTAATGCACAGCAGAATTAGTCTACTGAGCATTAGCGTCATGTAAAAAACATGCACCAACACTACTGTGCAGTAGTGCTGATTACGACACGTTAACTTAAGTACCTGTTATTACAGGTACTAAACTTAATGTACTGTAATTACAGTGCATTAATGCATGTGTAGACACGTCCAGGGTCCCCATATTACAGGTGTAGCCAGAGTATCCCAACCCTACATTTTACGACAAACAAATACTTGTTTTAAGTGTATTTGTAGCTTGGAGTTTCTTGGCTTTCCAGTATTTTTGCATTTTATAACTAAAATTGTTTACTCATATATTTTACTTCTAGATTACAGATATATTTATAACCTTTACTCCATCTTAAAGGTTTCTGGCCTAGAAGTACTTACATAGCTTCAAGACTAAGTTGGCTAGTGGGTTGTGATTTTCCCCTCATCCTCTGGCTTTTGTAGCATCTAGTTTCCTTATTTTAATCTCCTGTCTTGTTCTCTAACCAGAAATTCCCCTCACTGGCTGCTTTCTCCCACTTAATTCTAAACATGCTGTCAGTTTAGCAAGTACTATAGCTAACATCCTATCAATTCACTCCCACTTTCCTGCCAGTGATTCAAAAAACAAGCAAAACATTTAAAGAGAGGTAGGATCTTAGGAGATGCATATATTTCAAAGTGTAACCTCTAATATCAGTAACATGATTTTTATTTAGGATTCATCAATACTGTTTTGTGAGGCCTCCTCACTCTCAGCTTGTCACAGCAGTCCTTTGGCACTTGAAGGAAAGTACATGTTCTGGTTGTTAACATTTATTTCCTTTCCTTTTTCTGCAAGCTTAGAAAAAAGGCAATGAATCTCTCTCATTCAGGATTTATAGCTCCCTGCATTTCTTGGAATGCTACTGAAGTACCTGGGAATTTAGGAAACTAAACAGTTCCACACATCCTTCTGCTCACTCAGGTGGCCTGAGTCCAGCTCTCAAGAGAAAATTATTTGGACATGCTGGATTTTCCCTAACTGATTCATTTGTCACAAGGCTCTAGGTCAGGTTTGTAGTTTTAAAGTCCTACTTTCAGTTTTTTCTACTGCACAGAGACAGGATAAGGGTGAAGATGAATTCTATACTGCTGTGTCCAGTGAAATCACGAACCCTTTAAAATCTCTCCTGCCTAGTCCCATGGCAAATGATAAACATCCTACAGCAAAAAACACACTAGCATTCCTAAAAATGTTTGCTAATTGGCAAGACAACACACCATGCAGGACAACATCACTCTGGAATGGTGGGTGGGTCCCCACTAATGGAGTCTGCTCCTCACATCCTTTGGGCTTTGACCTGCGTGGCTTTGCTTCTGGGTTTGGTTGGACCATTAAGGGCTCAAGACGTTTCTTTCTCTGCTTCTTTTCCAGAAGAGCTCTCTGTGACACAAAAAATGAAAATAAAGGTAAGTTAAGCAGAGAGGCAGAGGTACAGCTGCAACCATAAAAACTGCCAGTGTCCACTCTTGCGAGGTGCTGCACAGCAACCAAGCTTGCAAAAAGCCTCTAGCTAGTTAAAGCGGAGCAAAGCAGCTGCAAGTTTTGTCAAAATAGAAACTGTCAAGGACAGTGAGAAGATGCTCAGAAAGAGAGAAAGTGTGGTAAGAAAAATATGCCAGTCTGGGTGTATTTATGCATATAGGGTTTTCAAAAATAAAACCAATAGTGAAAACTCAATTACACAAATAATTTATAAACAGCCAGTAGCAGTAGCAACAGTCATGGGAAAATAACGAATATGCAAGTAACAAAAGGCATAAAAACATTTGGGAACAAAGAGTCACTAGAATACTAGGCTGCTGGACTACTAAACTACACTCCTGAACATCCCAGCAAGACCACAGACTGATCAACAGGATAAGAAATGAGACTTACTTTGCAAGGTAACTAGTTCATTTGTAAATGTGGAAATGTGTGTTATCTGCTGAATAAACTGACATTAGTGAAGCAGAAACTTCTGTCTCTCAAACAGTCTCTCTCAACAACCCATTGGTTCCCCAATCCAAAGTTTTAGAATAATAGAGTCAGAGCCACATCTCTAGTAATTGACAATGAAGTATTTTACTCTGGAGAAACAGAGAAGTCTGAAATACTGTAGTGCTCTCTGATTATGGTATCAGATTTCAGAAGGATTCCAAAACACGGGCTAACTGATGGCTATGGAATAAGACAATGCTGGGGCTTCCCACTGCTAGTGGCCAGGGGTTCAGGCAGCACCTCAGACCTAGTCCTTGGCCTCCAAGAGAAAAACTTTACTCTGTGTCCACTATAAACAGAAACCCTGAACAAAAAAACGGGCATTTCTACACGTGCATGTACGCCAGCTTAAATTTACTGCACAGTAACTTCACAGTAAGTGGGAGTAGGTCTATGCATGCAGGTCAGAGCAGCCTGCCATGTGCCCCTGTGGCCACTAGGGGGAACTCCAGCCTCTGGCTGCCAGCACTTGGGACTAACTTTAGTCCTAAATTGAAGCCAGGAGAGGCAGCCAGCCAAGAACCTTGGGGCTGGGCTCAGGCCAGCCCCCGAGTATCTGAGCAGACCCAGCAGGGAGGCCCTGCACAGTAACATGTCTACACATGTGTTACTGCACAGTAATTAAATCAGGCATAAATTTGATACCTGAATGATGCAGGTATCAAATTTACACCCAAGCCAGCGTAAGTTGCCATATTTACTGCGCAGTACAGGCATACATGTGTAGATGCATGCCCATATTGAGCAGTAATTTCGGTTGCCGTGCAGTAAATGCGCATGTATAGATGCACCCACTAAGTAAAACTCAGCCCCTTTATACAGAATCTGTTACAGAGCATTTCACAAAACAAAGAAAAGCTACTTACCAGTAACTAGAGCGCTTTGAAACGTGCACATGCACGTTCCACTGGAGGTGCACATAAGCCTCCAGAACTTGAGCTCAGAAACTTTTGACCCCTAGAAGGACCTGCATGACATGCATGTTACCCTGCCTCTCTTTCTGTTCTGTGCCAATTGTATAAAGGTCAATGTATACTTTCTGCCCCTTAGTTTGATCTCAACCAGGGACTCCAAAGGAAAGGGGAAAAAGGATACGGAATATGCATATGGACAACACAGCTTGAAGTGCTTTAGTTATTGGTAAATAACTTCTTTCTTTTTCAAGTGTCTGTCCTTATGTACATTACACTGTCAGTAACTTCAAAGAGATGCCTGCTCTATCTGGAGGCACATCTGTAAGCCTTACATTAAAAGTGACTAGAGGACTGGATTTGGAAAATGCAAATCTGCTCTAGAAACCTCTACAATGGTTTAATATTTGGTGATGTGAATGGTGCTCCAAGTGGCCTTTCTTCATATGTCTATTACAGACATAGTCCAAATGGAATCCATCTGTATTGTTTAGGCTCTTGTTAAATCAAGTCGGATCACATGTGGTTCCACCTTAGTGACTTTGCAGCCCATTCTGACAGTTCAAGTCTTTGGACAGAAACTGCTGTGCCTGTCATTCAGCTGTGGAAACAAATGTCCAGAGATTTTTCAAAAAGTTAAATTTTGTGCAGGTAAAAAGCTCTGACTCCTTAAAGGCAGTTTTGGAAGTGAAAACATTAGGTAAATCTCCTGATTAAGATAACACTCCATGACAACTATGGGTAGAAATTTAGAGTGAATCCATAGGGGGACCTTATAGATTCATAGATGGTCGGAAGGGACCTCAGCAGAACATCATACTTGTTCAGGTAAAACACAGTATAGGCAGAATCTACCATCAATTCCTTTCTTGCTGGGGTGATTGCCACAATGGCTACCTCATGGACTGACAGTAGCAAGCATGTAGCCATCAGTTCAAATTGTGGGCCCCAGGGCCCATCAGGGCAGTGGACACTAACTATAAGCGCCACCAAGCAACCACATCTTGCACCAAAGGGAATACCTTGATCAAGTCCTTAAGAAACTTAAACATTGAAGGGGGAGAAGATGGACTCATCCTTTGGGGGATAGGAGTGAGCTAAGAGAGCAGCTAGCAGCACTGTGGGAGAGTGGAAGGTCAGATCACTGTTTCTTCTTTAGTACTGTGATGGTCCAGGAATTATGCAAGAGGCAAGGATTTTTGGATTATATATTTTATTGGACTATCTGCATCGTTGGGATAAAGTTAGACGAGTATCTGAATGCAAGATGGGCTTATACTCAGTCTCTAATCCTGACAGGCACAAGCCTTTGAATG